TTCCTATCCAGGAAGGGAAATTCGGGCGAAACAAATGCGCAGAAGTCACTGAATTGGTCGCGTATCCATACACGAAAAAGAAGGGAACGATTTCACTGACAACAAATATTTTTCGTCATAAAGTTATGCCACTGGAGGGCAGCATAATGCCATAATATGTGATATTCAGTAATCATTTGTATTACCGTGGGGGATTCGCAAACTCTTGAGGTGGGAGCGGCGTTCTCGACACAATCTAAGCTACCACGTAGCAATATAACAACATAAATTGATATTATGGGTGGAAAAACAGTTAACACGCTCAATTTTATATATAACGTCATATTTCGACTTATATTCCACGTTACGTAAGTCCTATATTACGTTCGGTTAAATAGCAGCTTCGTAAATGACGTCACTCGTAGGTATGCGCAATGCACTACTGCGCACCCACCTGTAAACCAGGGGGCTGGCCCTCGGACCGATAATGCTAGGTTAGGTTAGGTTAGGTTAGGTTGGTCAGATTAGGTTTGCGCAGTAGACTACTGCGCATCCATCTGTACCTTGGAGGGGGCCAAGTTCGGTAATTAATGCTAATGTTAGGTTCTGATTGTACATTATATTACGTGTGCGCAAACGACTTCTGCGCATAGTTATGCTCAGTTAAGAACGGTTTGGCCGTTGGTAATATCTTACGTTCCAATGTCTCTTATATTGGCCGTCGGCAATATCTTACGTTTGAATGCCTCTTTTAGCGTAGTAAATCATTATATATTTACACGGGACATTTAATTTCCGAATTTTCTCAAGTGATAAACTCTTGCATATATTTTTCTGTTAAACTCTCTACATAATCTATGAAACCCGGAATATACTGCGATATTTATAGTGGACGTAATTGAAATTTTTCCAAAATATTGACATTTCAGAACGCTCTCAATTGCATGATATCACAATTATCTTGATTTACTCTTACAATTTACACAAGTTCCGCTAATTTTCTCTTTTCGAATGTTCCCATTATTAATTTTATTATGATTCTCCAAATATGTCAAGGACATACAGATAAATTATATGAAAGGTATCCACCCCACAATACTAGTGCTCAAATATTAGATAGGGAAATCAGTGATTACACTCTGAACATAACAATATATCATTCAACATTCTTCTGAGCATTAAAACAAAAAACGAACACATCACTATATATGTTCTACACTAAACTATAAAATACAATTACAAGACTGTCAGCTGTAACAACTCGTGCTCTCCTGTAAACAATGTGATTCTCTAAGTAGTTTAATAGATGGAAACAAAATAATTCCCTGATCCTGTATACCACCTTCTAGCACATGTAAGCCTGGAAGGTTAGATGGCAAGCATGCAATCCTTTGTCTATCACACCGAAATACGCATCTAACTTAGAAATCACTTCCCATCATTCTTCATGCTATAACACATACTCTAATCACCACTATGCAGTTTACACAATGTCACTGAAGAGCATTCCTAGCATAACACCAATGACATGTTTCATTTCGCATACCACCCTGTTATAAGCATGTATTCTTCATCCAAGATGCACCAGATATGTATGAAAGAAGGGAAATGTTTGAACCCAGTGTGGGCGAAAGGAAATCTTAACATTCTTCAAAACACTACAACACCACACTATACAAAAAATACTATAGTAACATTAGACAACTTGAACTTCACTTTACACTCGACATTCTTGTTACCAAAACACCATACATTGTTCCGTTAAATACCAGCTTTGTAAATGACGTCACTTTAGGTGTGCGCAATGGACTACTGCGCATCCACCTGTAACTCAGGGTTCTTACCCTTGGCTACCAATCGTTGATTTAGGATAAGTTAGGTTAGGTTAGGTTAGCGCAGTAGACTACTGCGCATCCATCTGCACCTTCGAGGGGTCGAAGCTCGGTAAGTTACGCTGATGTTAGGTTGTGAGGTTAGATTATGATAGGTTTGCGCAACTGATTACTGCGCATCGTTATGCTCAGTTGAGCGAGGTTTGGCTGTCGGCAATATCTTACCATTGAAGGTCTCTGATAGCGTTTCAAATCATTATATATTTACACGGTATATTTTATTTCCGAATT